TTGTCGGACCAGTTACCACCCACGCGGTTTAGGGGACAAATCCCCGATGGGCTCCCACCCAGGCCAACCAACTTTCTTCCCTACGGTAGCGGTAAAATGGTGCCGCTTTCGTCTGGGGAGATAAGTACACGGACTTGTGCATTGACTGGTCCCCGTAAGTCATTTTGTAAGCCGGTACGATACTGCATGGAAGTAGAATTCGTGGCGCACCCCAAAAAGGTATTGATCAAGGCTTTTATCCTTAACTCTTCATAATTCATAGCTCCAAAGGATTTAGGAGCAAGCTTCAACTGGTAGATTCCCATTGAAATAAGGAAGATTCATCAGTTTTTGGAAATGTTTCATGTTTTGTCCCCCTTAATGTAATTGCCATCTGACATCAACCCGGAAGTTGTTGAAACGCCGCAGTGTCAGCTGTGTTGCGTGCCATTCGCACTGTTGAGCTTGTTTTCTATCACAAACTGGTAAGCGTGAGCAGCACCATGTAATGTCTCCTTGTGAGGACCAAGGCAATCAAAATAGTCTTCCTTCTATAGCTGAACATGGATTTTTGTTGAAAAAGGGATGCGGTTTGGTTTGATGGGGCCTGTTGCCTGTTATTCAAATAGAACTAATAAAATGAAGGCCCGCTCCAAGCCGAGCAGTACCAAAAAGGTATGCCAGAAGTGCTTGAGAATCCTGAAGCGCAGTCGAAGGGGCGAGAAGCGTAGCCAATATAGTGGTGTCCTACGATTTCTCAATCGTTGGAGTATGGTCATTGGCAAGAAGGAGGGCCACAAATGCGCGGCGTGGCTCCATTTGGGCCACAAATGCGCGGCGTGGCTCCATTTCTGACCAAGGATGTCGGAACAGCGCCTAAGCAAGGCGCAACATGCCTACCCAGACGCCCACCGCAACCGCCCGCCCACAAATGGCCGCATAGCTGACACTCTTATCGTTTCATTTACAAAAGTACAACGTAATAATACAAACGGTTGTGTATTAAAAATGAGGAAGATCAGCATATGGGTATGTTTTTTTGTTCTTGCACAGGCCAAGGCTTCTGGGTTCACATAACCCCGTCAGCTGAGTAGGGGTGTCGTTGGGTATGTACGGAGTTCTCACTTTAATATAAGGCAGAATAATTTAGTGCTTAGTCTAGAATGGTAGCAGAGGTGCTACACAGTGGGGAAAATCTCGAAAAAAAAACGAAGTGAAGCGGTCAAAAACCTGCAAAAGCCGTTTTTTCTACGTGGCACAGATGCGATTTCGGACGAGTTTCCCGTTGGTTCCGTGCCAATTACCGCTACGATAGATACTGCTGCATGTATGTACTCATATATCCATGCAGCACCGGTGGGCATTCAGGTCGGTATGTTGCAGCTTGATAGGGCGCTATAAAGGGACCTTCCATAGAAAAGATGCCACGCAGCGCCTGCTCAGGAGCGCGGGGCGTGCCAGTTCCTAAAAGTCTTGGATATTATGCTCTTCTTACAGAATGCTGCACTTTGCCTTTAGGACCAGTCAAAGGTTGACAGAAACTGCTCTGATCTTTACAGAATGTGTCAACTCTTGACGAGTAATCAATAAAATCGATACTTTTCAGCGTTAGCATTATTCGATCATGTGAACGCATTGTGTGGAAGTTTATCAGAATTATGTACCCCAGCTACCTGTCAATACATGAGCTATCCGGGAACTGCGTGAGTTAATCACTTTCAATTAATAGGTTTTTTACTTGTAAAGCTTTCTAGTTGCATGGGTGCAATTTTGCATTTATTGTAATATTATTTTGTAAATATTCAGGTTTTATCTTTTTCAGCAAAGCCTATTATATCGATGAACGAGGAAAGAGGCATCTCTATTCAGCGATGCAATATATGGATTGTGTGATGTCATTTTGTGAAAAGGCGAGCAGAAGTGAAGAATTATTTCCAACCAAATACGGTATGTTTACACGTCATGTATTTGCGACAATATCTCTTACTGTAACACGTGCGACTTTTAGTGCTTGTTTATAAAATGACGTATGTTTGCATTTCTCTGTGGCCGTTTCAATAGCAACAGCTTTTTATTTCTCATATCTTCGATCATTCCTATCGTGTCACGCGATGCTGAAAATAGCATGAGAAAATTGCAATAAAAAAGCGCAATCAACCAATCGATATTTGTTTTCCAGGTAATCAATTTTCGGGTGATTTCGAGTCCCATATCCGACGGGTTATCCGCCTACTATGGCACTGTTGCGGGCATTTAGCATCGAAACACTGGGATGAATTGGGTGAGTAATACACCAGGAATTCCTTGTATGTTATCTTACAAATATATATTTTTTTTCTTTTTTTTCCGACGCTGTTAGAGTAATATGGGACATTTACATGCAGTAATTTGGGCTGATTGTAATTCCAACGTCGCACGAAGATTCCTTACTTTTCCGAGGCCGAGGGAAGGACGCTCAAGGACGGGCACCCAGGGTAGAGCATCGTTATTTGTGAATGGTGGTTTCGGTGCACCCCCCCCAGCCCTTCTCCGACCCCTATCTACCACCTTCCTACAAGTTCCAGCTTCCTACCAGTTTTTGACGACCCAAAAGTTTTCCGATCGGGGGCGTCGTTGGGGGGGGGGAAGTGTTGGGGGCCCAACTGTGTGAAGAATAGGAAAAAATCACGGGACAAGTCCAAATGGGGTTTCAGCAGAATACTTTTTTAACGGGGGCGGCAGATTTCTACTCAAAGGCCACATATGACCTTCCCCTTCTCCCATCAACGACAATACTACCCTCTCCCGAGCGGCGACCGTACGCACCCCCCCCCTATGTGTTTCACACCAAGCGATGCGTGTACGCTGAGGGCATCTGCGGTCTTGCTCGCTGCGGATGCAGGGGCGTGTCAATCGGGGTGTGTTTGGCGCGCCGCCAGACCGTTCACCTTTAGCTGTTGAAGATGGCGAGCGTTGTTGAAAAATGACTGGTACGAGCGATACGATAGTCTATTGTTTGTCGAAAGAATAAAAGAAAAAAAACGGGCTGGCACCGCGCCAAATCCATCCCGCTTTGACGCGCCCATTATCCGCAGCGAACAAGACTGTAATCGCCTTGAGAAAAATTTCTCCTCAAATTTCCACCCTCCAGATTTTCTTCCTCGGTGCGCTCCCTTTCACAGCCTGGTGAGTGAACCAATCACTGGGTGAAAAACGGGCTTCCATCCAGTGACTTACGCCATGTGAAACTAAGCGGGTTTTACTTTCTTCAAACAAAGTAACTTCCAGTTATTGGGGAGTTCTTGCTGCCAGATCTTTTTTGTTGTGACGATTTCCTATGGCTGAATTCCTTAGCTTCTTTTTGATTCAGTGTTGTAGTCAGTGAAGATGACTTGTAGGCACAATCATAAATTGCTTTTCTTGATGTTCTTCGAAGGAATTAGTCATTTCTCAGTGAAGAATGCCAATCATTCCCGTCGCAGTCGGTAGCTTAAAGCCAATTTCAAGAGTAATAACTTCAACTTTACGAGTAGGGACAGTGGACTCACTTGTGAGAATATTTCTACATATGGAGTATACAGAGATCAGAATAATAGCGCAGGTCATCATGTTCTTCCTGCACATCAACTCCCCCTTCGAGCGAGACCCTTTCGAAATCGCAGGAGCAGAAAAATCCCGCCCCAAATATCCTTCTCTGGTACCGTCCCCCTCTCCCATCCCCTGCCATCACCCTACCTACTCCTCAACTTCCTACCACTTTTGCGGAGTTTTTTTTTCAAGAAAAAATGGAAAAACCGATAGAAGGCTACAACTGAAAACGTTCTTTACAAAAGTGGCGAACCCTTCCCCAGCGACCAAATACGACCCCCTTCGCTGGAAATCCTCAGCATGCGACGTGCCCTGATGCTGAATGGTGCGAAAAAAAAGCTGAGTGCTATGACGCGCTTAATCTGACTTGATTTCGGGTGCTGTACGAGCTTATTGCCTTAATTCCATTACCAGCTCAGAAGCAATGTCGGCGGCCGCGCTATAAATTGTACTAGAATGCAGACAGG